AGAGGTTGGGGTAAGGAGCAGTCAGATGGTGAAGTACTGTTTAGGGTGCAGAGAAAAGTGTGCTTATGACATTAGGAGAGCACTGCCTGTATCTTTGTGTGTGTGCATGTCCAGAGTGAGACCATTTACATGTGTGTTTTAGAGAGTGGGGCTGCAAAGGATATTGGATTCACAAGGTGGGTGCATCTGAGTCAGAGGGGTCCAGTGGTCCCAGCAGCATGCCCACTCTTCTCTCCGTATAGAAAGCAGGAGAATATGACCAAGGACTCCTCTGGACAGAGTCAGGAAGAGAGCCACAATGTAGTCTGGAGTAGTGCCCTTTCCTGGGACTCTGGGACCCTGAGACCAAGATTCTAAATGTTCTGAAAAGGCCTGAGGTCCGTAAGTCCAGGCTTTTGCTCAGCTCTGACTCTGTCTCCTCACTCTGACACCCAGGCCAATGGCATGCCATTGAGGTTTCTTTGGCAGAGGAGCTTACCAGACAGCAGCAAGATATTCAGCTCAGGACTCCCTCACCTCAGCTACAACTCGCTGGCTGGAACCACTTACTTGGTCTTGTTCTACCACTATGAGCAAGAAGTTCTAGAGGGTGGAGAGTTAGAAACATGCAGCAAACAGTTCCAAGGATGGCCACGCCACTTATTAGCTGTGACCACAGGCAGATTACCTTTTTCTGTGCCTGTGTCATCCTCTAGAAAATGGAGATAAGACAATCCTGTCCCTCCTTCCAGGGATGCTGTGAGGACTGAGTGAGGTACTCATGTAAGCACAGCATGCCACTTGGCTCAGCTGAGAACAAGGTTCTCCATTAATATATGTCTAATCCCCAGTGGCCAGCGGCTCAGGATCCTGTGTACACTTTCCACCATACACAAAACATAGGAGTAAGCCAGACCAGAAACAAAGCTCCCCTTGCTGATTTGGCCAGTGATGCCCAAGCTTCTGAGGAGTAAACTTAGCAAGATGACTGAGGTCATGTCCCACCAGGAGGTGGCAAATGGCTGAGAGGGTGTGGGACAGGCTCTCAGACTGGGTTGTGCCATCATGGAGCAGACTGGTGAGAAAGAGGAACGAGCCTGTGTCAAGGATGTCTGATTGGGAGGAGAAGGGCTGTGTTGGACTGGGGGCCAGGGCTTTTGGATGCAGTGTGCCCTGAGACACATTTGTCAGGGAGGGGTGGTTGCTAATGGATTACCTGAGGTAAGACCAACAATCTGCAGAGCTGCATCGTCCAGTCTTGTGTGAAACCCCAAATCTGTACAAATAGTGTCTCCTTGGAGCTCCCCACTTGGGGCTCAGTGGAGGTGGCATTGACAGTCTATTTGACTTTCTCACCTCCTCTTGATTTGCTCAGCACGAAGCCCCGGCAACTCATGGGGCGTCTTTGAACCAGAGCCACGAAGGCCCGGCTCAATCGCATTGAAAGGCCTTTTCAGGAAGACACTGGCCCATGTCTGCACACAGCAGCTTCTGTTCTTCCAGCTGAGTGGGCTGTAGGCCCAGCCCAGCCATTGCTAACTGTGTGACCCTGAACAAATTACCTCACTTCTCTGTACCCATGGGCAGGGGAGGGTGGAAGGAAAGCTGCCTGGAAAGGAACAAGGCAAGGACCTGGCATCTAGACCATGGGTATTGTAGGCAGGAAGACACAGCCCCTCTCAGTCTTCCTCAAGGGTGGCCTTCTCAGCCCATCAGGCCAGAAGCAGCTAGGCATACCCAGCTGGCTGAGATGTAGCAGGGAGGACCTACTGCCTGGAGACCCGGGTAACATGGCTCCTGTAGAAGTGGTGTTTACCAGCATGGTTTTGCAAGGCCTTGTTTACCTGCAATCCAGTAACTAGCAGCAAGTACTCTGGAACTGGTTGACTAAGTCCTAACCCTCCCAGAGCACGAAGACTGGCAAGACCCACTCAGCACCCTCTCCTCAGATGCATTTTCAGTGAAAATAAACCTTATTAACATAAGAGCATAAAAACTGTTTTATGGGGCTGGAGAGATGGCTCTGCAGTTAAGAGCACTGACTGCTTTTTCAGAGGACCCAGGTTCCATTCCCAGTACCTACATGGTACCTAACAACCATCCATAACTCCAGTTCCAGAGGATCTGATGCCCTCTTCTGACCTCTGCAGGCATTGCATGACATGGGTGCACTTACATACATGTAAGCAATATACTCATACACATAAAAATAATAAAAATATAATAAAATGTTTTTAAAAACTGTTTTAATGAATTATTTACTTGTTTTCAAGTCTGGATACTATATAAAGAAATCCAGATACCTGGGTACAACTGGTACTGTTCCACTTAAACTTCATGATTATTAATAATTGTACTAAACCTTAGCTGTCATTAGCCAGGACAGTCTCCACTCCAGACCTTCAAGGCCTGGCCATAGACACAGCATCCACCAGGCCTTAGTGGCTCTGACACGAAAATTCCTGGACCCTCTTCCCCTGCTGCCTAAAGCCACCGAGTCTGCTGGTATTGTGTTTGCTCTCGAACTTGGGGTCCTTGGGGCTTTCTCACTGTGGGGCTGCTGCAGAATTCTTGACTGCTCCTCGGCTTCAAGGTTGCCAGCTGCCAGCCAGATAGCTGTTTTCCCTCCTCCCCCAGCTTTACTTACACTAGCAGCTTTTTGCATTGACCCTGCTGATGTTAACTGAGTATCCTCCCACCTTTTATTTTAAAAGGTAAGACCAAACTCATCTTTCCTCTTATTGTGCCTTAGGATTTTACGCTTGCTCCCAACCACATACCACAAAAGGCCTTGACCTCCTTCCAGAACGCCTTGCTGTCCTGCCGAGTCTGCGGTTGATAAAGCAGTGAGTTAATCCGTCCATGTCAGTATTTCTCACTGGCTGCTCTTCCTTTCACTCCCCATTTTTCTTGGCTCGTTTCTTATATGTCTTTATTTAGTATTAGAAAGGGCAGGGAAAGAGGTGTCTGTTCAACAAAATCTGAGACCATGGGATGTGTGTGTGCCCTGCGTAGGCATCCCCATGCCAGTCGCTGGCCCTGGGAAATGCAGGGATGGCGTGGGCTGGCCTCGTCAATGCATGAACCCTGCCTGGCAGGCCTTGCAGAGCTCCATCCCCAGCAGGCCTCTGGCTTTTGGAGTGACCTGGCCCCCAATCTCTGATAGGATGGCTCAGCTTCCTTCCCTCTCTAATTTTTTTAGCAGAGAGAAGGGGCTTTTCACACCACCTTGGGCCAGTGCTTATCAGAGCCCTTGCTTATTTTGTGTTTTCTTAGAATTGGGAAGCTATCAGCACCTTGTCTCCCCAGCCAGGTAGAAGGCCCCAGGAGGCAGTGAGCTGTTCAGTCAGTTCTGACACCTCTCTGATTATCCGTTTTCTGCCAGCATAGGGCCCAGCAGTGAGGTCAGAGCATACTCTGACACAGACAGCTTTGTGGAGGGAAAAAAAGCTGTCATGAAAAGTCCTTGAAAATTGAACCCTTGACCTAAAAAATGGCCAAAGACAAGAATCAAACTGTTGGGGGCTGGAGAAATGTCTCAGCTGTTAGGAACACTGGTTGCTCTTGCAGAGGACCCGGGGTCCAAATCCCAGCACCCACATGGTGGCTAACAACCTTAATTCCAGTTCCAGGGGATCTGACACCCTTTTCTGATCTCTGTGGGTATTGCATGACAGGAGTACACTTACATACATGCAGGCAATACACTCATACACATAAAATAGAAATAATAGCCAGGCGTGGTAGCATATACCTTTAATCTCGGCACTTGGGAGGCAGAGGCAGGTGGATCTCTGAGTTCAAAGCCAGCCTGTCTACATAGCAGTTCCAGGCCAACTGGGGCTGCAGGGAGACCATGTCTCCAAAAGACCAAAATAATAATAATAATAATAATAATAATAATAATAATAAAGAATGAAGCTGCGAAGGACATCACAGGACTCTTAGCCCCAGCCTCAGTGAGTCTGAAATCCTACAAGTGGTCCAGCCAGCCCTAGGAGCCTGACACTTCAGACAAGGCTTACTTTCTCCTCAGTCTGTTCATCCAGTCAAGATCTACTTCCTGTCTCTACCCACTCACCACCAGGCATTGTCATTCAGTAGGAACCTACTGGAGATGGAGTGGGACGCCAAAGTCCAGGTGTGTACCTACATACCCTGGTTTTGGAACCCTGGTCAGAGAAACCTCCAGCAGAGGTTGACTTAACACTGCCTCCAACCTATCCACAGCAAGGGAAGACTTTCATGCTTTGAAAGCAAGGGCATCCAAGAATCCGAGTTGCTGAGGAGCTAGACCATAGACCAGGCCAATGACTGAGTCTTGTCTTCAAAGCCATGGCACGGCAGCACACAGTCCCATGGCTGGCTTGTTTGTTTAGTAAAGAAATCACAACCATTTGGAAGTTTAAACATAGCTCAGCTCCTGGTGGCTGCATGGTGCTGGCATAGGCCCAGCCCCTGCCCCGCACCAAGCCTTCAGCAGTAGGCTGGGAAAAAGCTTTTGCAAAAATTCCTTGAGTTTTACCAGCCTGTTGGATTGGTCTCATCGTCTTGATTTTGAATAGAAGAACCGGGTATATAAAAATCGAAAAGCATCTACAGGTTCTGAACCTAACAGAAAGGTCAAAGGTTACCCACATACACACTACTGCCAGTGAGGCAAGTCTAGAGGACCCTCCTCTTCCCTATCCTGAGTTCTTCTCTATCTGGGAACTCCAGGAAATGGCAAGGATCTGTTCCAGGATGGTGACTTGGGACTGCAATACAGACTGTCCCATTTGAGAGCCTGTTAGCTCAAAATAACAGAGCCAGCAAGCCCCCAGGACTTTCCAAGCAAGGCTATATTTTTCCTGCCTTTTTTGGGTAGTTAGGGCTCTTTGTTTAAAACACACACAAGATTCTGTCTTACTGGGGTGTTCTAGGGCAAGACGCCATATTCCTTAAGTTGCTGGAAGACTCTACCCTTCTACCTCCCCACACTGCCACCATAGCTCAGGCCACCAAGAAAGACTGGGACACAGCACAGTATACAAGAGTTTATTTAATGATATCTGAATTTAGTTCTATCATGTGGGGCCCACGTTACAAGTTCCATCTGGGTCCATCACAACTCTAATTTAAACAAACAAACAAAAAAAAACCTTAAAAAAATCCACAACTTTCTCCATGTCATTAAATATATTCATATATAATAACCATAATATATTAGTATGCATTGGAAAGGAACACTGACCCAAACAATATGTCATGGTCACAACTAAACATTTACAATTCTGAGTAAGCAGAAATCGGCAACACAGGAGGGAGGCCAGGGAGGCCAGGAGGTGTGTCTGGAATAGGAAATGGTGAGGGATGTCCAACAACACAAGAGGGGTGGCTGGCTTGGATTTTGGCAGGGGCAAGGACCCACAAAGACAATTTTGATACCCCTGGGGTATGGCATGGCTGTGGTCCACAGGAACAGCTATCCTCGGACCATGGCCCATCAGTGTGAGCTTTGCCCACTCTCTAGGCTCTGCGGATGGAGGAGAGGAGGGTCTTTTAAGTGTTGAGATTCTAAAGGAACCATTTCCCAAGTCAGTCCCTAAAGGTCTCTTCATTTGTCTTGTTCCAGCTTGGGACAGTTCTTAGACAGCCTGTACCCATTGCCTGTATGTTACTACTGAGGCAGTGTTCCAAGAGGTCCCTAAGGGCTGTGGGCCATTCACAGCCTCCTGCCCTGCTTTCAAAGACAGATGCTCTAGACAGAGGTCACAGCTCACAAGTGTATCTAGGGATACCCCATTTCCTCTCTCAACCACACACTTTTGTGTGACTGTGTTAGCAAAGCAGGCACTGGGCTGACAGGGGCACCAGACTACCCAGTTGGTAAGAAAAAGGGCAGCTGGGGAGTCTGACTGGTGAATTATTAACCTGGTATGCATGGTATGGTGCTCTTCAAAGACCTACATATCACAACTCTGTTAATACACTCTCAAACTCGGAACCTACTTCCGTTTTGCATCCCTTCCTAACTGTACAAATAGGATGTCTCCTTTCCATCTCCTTTCCCCTTTCCATCTCCTCCCTGGGGTGGGACAGAGGGTGGGTGGGAGAAGGCTGCGTTCCCCAGGCTGGCTCTCAGGCAGAGGAGAGGTGAGCCAGGTTCAGGCTGGGTTCAAGACATGCAGGAGGCAGCTGTGACAAACTGTAATGACTTCTACCTGGCCATTCAACGTAATCCTCACTGGAGTGGTTGAGGGGTGTCACTGGATTTTCAGCAATATGTCTTGTTGCTTTGCTGGTCCCTGGCTCTAGCTAAGGGGTCTCAAAGGATACCAGGTGAGACTGGGACCCAGGTTCACAGGGCAGAGCTGGCACAGCCCTCCTGGGTAAGTCAGAAGTTATGTTAGTATAACAATAGGACAGCTGCTTTGCAGCATGCAGCCATTTGCTGCTGACAGCACTCAGCAGACCACACGGGCTAGAGCCTAGGGAAAGGCCCCTGCCCTCTAACCTCAGGCTTGGGCCAAGGAAACCACATGACCTTTCCCGGGCAGGTCTTTCTGCTCCCTGCCACCCTCTCCCCATGCTTGGAGTAGCCAAGTCACCTTTCTAAGCCCTTTCCAATGGCCAAAGCCTACCTTCCTGGACCCTGGGACTTCCTGGAGCTGCTCTCTAGTGAGTCCATTCCCTGTACCCTGCCACTCTTGATGCCCCCTCTAGAGGTGTCACTGTGCCTGTCGCTGACCCCACTCCAGGCTCATATTCTCGAGGTTTCAACCAAGGTTTCCAAACCCAGTTGCATTTGACAGCTTTTCCCCAACCCCCATCCTGCTGTGGGAAATGCTAAGTGGGCCACAGAGCTGGTGTGCAGCTGGCCAGAGTGTGAGTCCCAGTGCTATCGTGTACTTGTGACCTTAGGCATGCATGCGTATGCATTTCTTTTCTGGTAAAAAGGGGGATGACAATCCCTATCCCATGGGATTATTATGAAGACAGGCTAAGAGTGTGTGGGTAAAGTGCCTGGCACCAAGCAGGTGCTCAGTAAATGGCAGTGGTGACGTGGGCACAAGTGGGAGAAGCAAAGCCAAGCTGCTAAGGGGCTGAGCTTCATTCCTTGTATGGTCCTTTTGGGCAGCCATAAATGGGCAGGGGAAATGAAACCAATTTCCTGACGGAGAGAGGAGCCAGACCTCTCATCCAGTGTGCAGGGCATGAGGTTGGGGCTGGAGGCCTGAGTGGAGGGAGGCAAAGGCGGCGAAGGGGGCCTGTGAAGCAACAGGAAGAAAAGACTTGGAGCTGCCTGCCTGAGGATATTCTTGGAGGCTTAAGAGGACTAGGCACAGAGGAAGGCATAGGAACTGTCACAAGACAGCCAGAAAGGAATGGGTGAGGCTGCCCAGGCAAGACAAAGACAGCTGTGGGCCACAGTGGGATTCTTAACCCTTGGGAACCAGCAGTGAAGACGGCAACAGGAAGTGGCCACGGCTTCCTTGGCTCCTAGGAATCTGGCCACTCTGGGCTCTGCCTGCCTATGGCTTTGGACACTAGGGCACCTGGCTGAGCCAGCAACCTTGTCCTGACTCGAGCAAGCCCCCACCCCCAAGCTCGGCCCAACTGTCTGTACAGCCAGCATTCCATGCCTGACCAGGCCCTTTCCAGCTGTTGACACTGCTGAGAGGCCTTGTGGGAGCTGATGTCATTACACAAATAGTGTCATTGCCCTAAACCCCGCCAGTCCCCCCTCCCCCTCCCCTGGAAAAATGTCATAAAAGGGGCTGTTTCCAAGTTTCCAGAAAGGAAACTCTCTGGGAGGTTTTGGTTTACAGAGCCTCCTCCCACAGGCAGTGCCAGCAGAGCCAGTGACCACCCGGCTTGGGCTTCTCAGGGGTGTCCTTGGGCCTTAGGCCCTCTGATGGGCCAGAAGCCTAGACCAGCCCCACTGGGGCAGAGTGGGACCCAGTAGTCCCCCCACCCCCACTACAGATAGTGAGCTCCACCCAGGAGACCAGTCCAGCAGGTGGCGATGACGCCCAGAAGCTGGATTACCCAATGCCATCTGGCCCCTTGACAGAGGAACCAGATTGTCAAAGTCAGGAGTCCTATGGGAATTCCTAGACAGTAGATCGCGGAGAAAGGTGGGGAGGGGGCGGGGGGGCGGTTCTTCTGTGTCGGGGATGATGGTTTGGTTGCCCGTGCCCAGGCTGCAGGCATGAAAATTCACAGTTCTCCTCATATCCCCTTCTCCAATAACCAGCAAGCACAGCGGTTGTGGGCCACTGTGCCATTCTGTGCCCGCCTCTTGGGCCTCAGGGCCGGCTGCCCCCAGCCCCTCCACGGCGACCCCACCTTGCCCTAGGGAAGCGCATCTCTGCTCTGGAAGGAGCGCCGTGAGGTAGTAGCTACGTCGTCCTCATTTCTCCAGGGCCTGGCCTGTCAACACAGGGTCCTCTTGTGCTGTGTGCACAGGGGTGCCGCTGGGGGCGCGAGGGTGGGGCTGGGGTGGAGCCGCCGAGGGCCCCGCCCCCGCTCAGACTGCGCCCCGCCCCCACCCTCCCCCAACCTGGGAAAGCCCTGGAGGGCCAAGTCTGTGGCCATCGCTCTTGCCAGCGCCCTGGCGCCCTGGCCGCCTGAGCCGGCGCGCGCTGCCTCCGCGCTAGGCCTTCTTGCACTTGCCCTTCTTCTCTCGCTGCTGGAACTTGCGCAGCCGCCGTGCCCACGTATCCCGCCACTGGATCACCAGGCTGCTCTTGTCTGCCACGATGCCACTCTGGTCAGGCGAGTCCTCGGCATTGCCCAGCAGCAGGTACTTCTTAAGGGGCTTGATTTTGGGGCACTTGCAGGCGATGTCTCGTGAGCGGATCCATAAGCTCTGGTCACCACGGCGGATGCGACTTGTGCCCTGCTTGTACACCGAGATGATGTTCACTGTGAACTTCCACCAGTCCCCTGCCTTGTCCGCCTTCAGGATATGGATCTGGACAGCTGAAAGGAAGCACAGGCAGTGGGGTGGGTCATGGCTGGGAAGAGCAGCTGCCCGGCCCCTGGGATCAGGTGAGCCCTATCTGCACCATGTTCTTCTATAAGAACCAGGAGAATAGAGAAATGGAGCTGGGAAGTGGCTGCAGGGGGTACCCCAAGGGCCAATGGAGGTGGTTGTAGCAAAGTGGAACCCCACCTACTTTAACTGGGCCAAGGCCACTGCTCCAAGTAGCCTTCCTCCTGCCTATTTTGAAGGTGTCACCTAACACTGACTTTGGTGAAAAGCCCCCTCTAGGAGGATGCTGAGGTCCACTAAGGAGATTGGGGGAGGAGGCTGCAGGAATTAGCCACACCCCTAGCACTCTGGATAAGGTTCACCTGCCCAGGGCAGGTGGCTTCAATGAACAACAGTTCTGACACCTCGCAGACTAGAGACGGGAACCACCTCACCTGCCTGCACCTCTAAAAGCTCTTGTCACTTCACCCCAAACCTCATGATACCCCTGACACACCCGACTTCAACACAGTCTCAGCAGACCATCATGGGACCTGGGTACTCAGGAGCAAAATAACCTGCCCCCGGATGGTCAGAGTGCCCTTTCTAGAGTCCTGAGTCTTTGTTGCCTCACCAGGCTGCCTGCCTCCCTCCCTCGAGCCTCTCCGGTTCCCCAGCCCTTCGCCTTCCACCTAGTCTTCTGCCAGCCTTTCCCCTGGAGTGTACATCAGAGTCCCCTGGAGAGCTTCTGAGAACACACTGCTGCATCCACCTCAGAGCTTCAAATTCAACAGAACTCGGTAGGGGCCAGAGCCCCCATTTCATACATGCTCCCCAGGAGTGCTGCTGCTACTTGCCCATAAGACGCCGAGGGTCACTGCCAAGTGCATGAGAAGAGATGCTACTGCTGCAGAGCCACACAAGGCATTTTCAAACAAGGAACTGTTTAAGGGTGAGAGGCTGGGAGATGGTTCTGTCGGGAAATGTTTCCTGGACAAACACTGGGGACCTGAGTTCAATCCCCAGAACCCACAGAAAAGCTGGGCATAACAGCGTGTATGCCTAAAGTCTTAGTGCTATGGAGGTGAAGACAGGTGGATCCCTAAGGCTCGGTGAGTTCCAGGTTCAGTAAGAGACCCCATCTCAAAAAATAAGGTGGAAAGCAATAGAGGAAGATGCCTGAAGTCGAACTGCATCCTCCACACCCATGCACACATGTACCCATGCACACAGGTACACACACAGAGAAATGTGTATGTACACACATACGAAGATGGGAACTTTGTTAAAATAAGTTTGTGAAGCACCAGGTTTCTTCAAGAGGCTTCTTTGCCACAGGGCTTAAGGGGGCCTGTAAGTGATAAGCCATGTACCCATGTTGGTTTCCAAGCATTGCTGACTGTAGAACCCCTTGATTAGTACATCTTAGAGCCTCATGGAGCCTATCGGGGGAATTGCTGGGGATGGAGGTACACATGTCTATCTTACCCCTACAGTCCTGGAGATACCTAGAGAAGGCATCAGCCCTGCCAAGCCCCATTCAAGTGAAACACCCATCTTCATCCATAGACAGGGCCTCCCTCCTATGCCACTCTCTACACCCTGTACATGTCATCCTACCTGACAGAGAACCATTGTCCCCTAGACCAGGATGAAGACTACCCTGGCCACTGAATGCACCTGAGGCCTCCTGAGAGAGCAGTACCTCATCACCTCCCTGCCTCTGTCTAGACAACAGGCCTACCTGGAGCTCCACTGCCCCCACCAAGTCCCCTCAAGGTCTCTGGGGGTCACTCTGCCACCTTCACTCCCAGACAACCTCCCCACTCCTTCCTGTGCCCATAACTGGCTGGCCAGATGCTAGGAAGCATCAGATGTTGCCCAATTCACCCTCCTGGGGGTGGGAAGTAGGGAATTTTCCCATATTTTCATTTCAACTGTTCCTGGGCATCCTGAACTTTGCACTTCAGTCTGAGGGCTCCAAAGAATGGCTTCCATGGCAACCGTTTCCATGTTTTTGTCACCAAGGGACTCAACACTCAGTGTGAACTCTGAAGGTGGGGGTGGGGAAGTCCTCCAGCTCAGAGAAGTGGCTGGGCTGTGTGTATTTGACTGTGCAGATGGAGGTCACCGTGGCAACTGAGTGCCCCTCAGCTAAGTGAGCCCTGGTTTCCTCTTGTTGGGACTGAGCTGAATACAGAATAAGTCTCTTGGGATACAGCTATTTAACTGGGTGGCACCCTCTGTGCCAGCCGGTGTCACTCCAAGCATGGGCTGGATGTGGACCCTCTGGCTAGGGCCCTGGAAAATACAGTTTAATCACAGACTCAAGACCCCAAGTTCCTCTGTTGGAGCCCTAACACCCCTGTACTTCAGAGAGTAACTGAATTTGGAGACAGGGTCTTTCCAGAAGCAATTAAGATGAGATCATGGGGGTGGCTCTAATCCAATATAACTGATGTCCTTAAGAGACTAGAACACGCAGAGGGAAGACCACCTTAGGACACAGCTAGAGGGCAGCCAGCCACACACCAAAGGGTGGGGCCTCAGAAGAAACCAGCTCTGCTGACACCTTGACCCCAGACCCCAGGCCTAGGACTGTGGTAAATGAATTGCTGCTGTTTAAGCCAGGCAGTCTGTGGCACCTTGCTCTGCCAGCTCTAAAAACTAACAGAACTAATATCAAGGACTTGGGGTACTGGGCATCAGTCTGATGGGGTGGACTGAAGTGAATCTCAACTTTACAAAAAAGAGCCTAGGGTAAGAGCTGACAGGACAAAGTGTAGCCTTGGACTGGGCCCTCAGTTTCCCCAAGAGACCTTCCTTCTCGATAGGAGCCGTGCAACAGCATGACCCTGCATATGAGGACTGGATTCCTCAGCCCACCCTCACCTCAGAGCTCTTTCGGTGAATACCCTGAAAAGGCAGGCAGTCCCTGCCATCTCGCCCCAGGAATGGCCAGCACAGGTCTTAAGAAGACCTGTTTCAATAGAGTCCTGAAGGTCTCTCCTGGACACCGTGTTCAAGAATCCACAGGGACAGAGCAAGCAGGCCTTTTGCTCTTTCTGTCCCCTGGACAATCCAGCTGCTCTTGTTGTGGGAACCTTCCTAGCTTCAGGCTGAGATAACACAGGCCCAGAGGCAGAGGAGGGTGGCAGCAGATTCATGTGATTATGCTGGAAAAAATCCACATTTCCGCTGCCCTTGGCAACGCCTCCACACATTACAAAGCCCACCAAGTATGAGCTGCACACGCAGTGCACGGGCCAACTCCCCACAGTGCACATACTGCTGAAAATATTCAAAATACACATTGCAATAGTGACCTCAAACAGACCTGCTCTGTGTGCTTAGGGAGCACACATTCTGGCAGCCGCGTGGCACACACCAGGGCTGCTGTCACCTCTGACCAGGCTGCTGGCTGCCACCTGCAATCGGAATGACCCAGGTCTCCAGACTGTACCCAGACTTTGTGTGTGTGTGTGTGACATCACTCAGCCAGGGGACTGGGCACAGTGAGCCTCAACAGTTCTGCTAGTCCTGGGACCATGTCTACAAATGGGGCTTGTATGCCTGCTCTGGTCTTGATGCTGGTATCCCTTCCAGATTCCTATGTTGGAACCTAATGCCCACTATGACAATTTTAGGAGTCGGGGTCCTCAGGAAGTGACCACAGTAGTATAAGGGCTTCCTCATGAGTAGGAGCAAATCCTCTACAGAAGCTTAAATGAGTCCTCCCTTGCCCCTTCCACCATGTGAGGCCACAGGAGCAAGGTGGCATCTTGGAAACAGAGACCAACCCTCGCCAGACATTGGATCTGCTGGTACCTTGATCTTGGACTCCTCAGCCCACCAAACAACTACAAGCAGTAGACTTCTATACAGTTGACTGTATTTTATTGTAGCAGTGCAAATGGATTAAGATATAGCCACACAATGAGACAGCCTCGCCAATCAGCCCAAGCTCGAAACTCCCATACTTAGACTGATGTCCTGACATTATCCTCATCAAGGTTGGAATGTGGGGCTCCGTGAGGACTCTGCCATTCACAGAGGGAAATGAAATGATTCACAGCAAGGTGACCTGGAGATGGGGGGCATGCTGAGAACCCTTAAATACAGACTGCTGGTGGAGCAGAAGAGGACCTCAACTCCAGGTCAGAGTGGCCCTTCTCTGAGGCAGAGACAGAAGAGCCCATGAGGCAGACACTAGTACAGAGCGGGGACTCTGTATCACAGATCTACCCTCCCTTCCCAAGCCCCTGCTCACCTACCAGCAACAGCTGAGGTGAGCTAGTATGTATTCCCCTGGGCTCTATATCAGGAAGGTGTTCAGTGCAGACAAAAAATCAGGGGCAGGAAGAACCTCTCAGGCTGTTTACAAGCCCAACTGAGCAACTTGGGGAGGAACCAGCTACGGGATAGTATACATCCTCAGTGAAAATCCAGCTGGGAAAGGAGAGGGGGCTGCCTAGAATCTGGACAGAAAGCCCTCCCTCTCCTGTAGTCAGCCAGATCTCAGCACCCTGCAGGCAGTGTGGGGTACCAGCAGCCCCTTCAGCAGTCTGTGGGTTCACAGAAAGGACTCTCATGCTAAACATGTTTCTCAGCCACCAGGGCAGCATAAGCCACAAAGACCACCACTATCCCTTAATTTCAGTCTAAGTCTCCAGCTAGCAAGGGTACCCATTCTCTCCATCCCTTGACAGAGCATAGATGTGATTTTGGGAGTAAGAACAAGGCCAAGGGTCAGGCTCACAGGAGCCAGACCTCGAAAGGGTTGCCTGTGCTGCCCCAGGTGTAGAGGCTGGGAGGCAAACCAGAGGTGGGAAGGGGTGTCTAAGAGGCAGGCTTAGGGCAGGCTGGGTGCCTTAGAGCCCTATCTCTATTTGGCACAGAGGGCAGAATTCAACCTGTTGCCTATACATCCCCAGCTACAGCTTGGCCACACTTCTCAAGGGCCTCAACCTCCCTCCCAAGGTCTAGCACTAGGGAAATTCCCAGGTCA